CGCAGTTGGAGGTGGCGTGCAAAGGTAAGGCATCCTCAACACAAGGAATTGGTAAGGGCTTTGTTGGAGAGTAGAATATGAGTTCAGCAGCATAGTAGGTTCTTTCTATAGCCTTGAGTAGGCGCCTCTTAATAGTGTTTGAGATGTTATCAACCTTGAAGGGCAAGGATACAAATACTGGCTTTTTAGGAGATAAATGTTCGTTCATTTTCGGTCGCAAGGACTTGCTATATCAAATAAAAATTGTAGCAACTTCTCCCCTAACCCGGAGGTTACATCTAACCCAACTCACCCGCTGTCGGGGCCTGGTGGCTTGAATGAACAGAGAGTCCGGTAAGAGGGACTTGTATGGCCGCCTCAACAGGATACAGGAACCGCACAAAAATGCATGCGACTTTGCGTCAAATTCCGAGAAATTGAGCTTAGAATTAAGGCAAGACCTAGGGTTAAGGTTGAGGTTGGGGTTAAGGGCAGAGTTGAGATTGAGGCCAGGGTTATTTGAGGATGAAGATTTGGGCTCGTGTTAACTGTTGGATTTACTGTTGGATGCAGACTTAGTTTAGTATGATGTTGTGATTAGTGGTAGGGTTAAGATATGGATCTATTTACCCTTCTCAAAATTTATCGCAATATCACCTATTTGAAATGGACGGAAAGTCCCTATTCATGAGTCCTGTTTAGGCGACCATATAAGTCACCCCATCTTTTGGTTCTAACCGCAACTGTGACCTCAATCTCAACTTTAAACTCTATCCCTCCCCCTAATCCTAAACCTAGTTTCCCGGAAATTTGGTTCAAAGCCAAATTTATTGTGGGTAGTTTCTCTGTCTGGTTTCGGCGGTCATACAAGTCTTCCTTACTCTTTTAGGATTTGGTGGGAACTTCCGTGAGTAAGGTAAGGAGTGCTACCCGGATGTTTTTTTAATATGGCTAGAGTTACACTTAGATTAGACCCTTACCCTAGTATAAATTACGTACTAATTAGCCTAAACTTAGCGCACACTATATCATAAACCGGTACCGTATTCTTAAACCTAAACACTAATCCCAAATACTTTCATACTCCTAGCACTAAAAAGCAGTCAAAAACTTGGAGGTCATTTGCCAGGAGTTCTTGGAGGTACTTCTTTTCACTCCTTCACCCATTTTTCCTATGCATTTAACACAAACAGTTCCTTTGAGTTTATTCTCTCATCCTTGGTACCATTTCTGTAATACTTCTTATAATTCCCTTAAACGTAATGCATCTTTGAAATCGCCCTGCCAAATTATTGATCACTATTCCGGTCCTCTCTCTCAAACCAATACTTACAGAGAGTGCATTCGTTCTCGAAGATTTATTTGTAGTCTGATTACCGAATCCATGTTGCTTTAACCTAAAATTTACAGGAAGTCATGTTCACTCTTAATTGAAGTTTGCTACTTGTAAATTCAGAGAATAAACTAAAATGGTTACGTGCGTTATTTAGATTGAGAACACGTAAGTCTAAATATAGAGTTCTTAATGAATCCCCTGTTTTGATTCCACAGGAGATGGTGCACAGCTTTGATCCGGTCCACAGCCTTAAGCCTCAGTCTGGCAAACAAAAAAGAACTTCTCAGAGTCAACAGGACAAAGGGAGGACGCGGGAAATGAATCGAGCTTACTGTCGTCTACGTACTTGCATCCCTGAGATTCCCGTGGACACAAAACTGACAAAGCTCAAAACCCTGAGAATGGCTATTTCTTACATACGCACCCTTTTGGTGACTGCTGACTCATCCTCACCCAAAACGGAACAGGTTCACTCAACCCGCAGCCGCGAGCTGGACTTTAGCAAACACTGTAGCTGCTTCCAACGGCCAGAGGCTTATGTGCACGAGAACTTTTGAATAAAGTAACCAAGAGCGCGACCGAGAACCATTTCTATTCGTGGTGGAGCGTTTCCGTAGATAAAATCTGTAATAGGAGCAAAGTAACGGTAAAGGTTGTGTACAGCCAGACGAAATCGTGATCATTTCTCCGGTTAGGGTGAGGGGGGGGCGGAGATGAAGCCCAACAGCCTACATGCATTTAACGAACGGCTTTTATAAAGCACTACCTAAATACCAACAATGGTCTCGACTCCGCCATAATTTCCGCTCTGTCCTACGCCATCTGAAAGATGAAACAGTCGGTTTAATAGTTTTATAGGGAGTCTACAAGCAGGAAGTGACGTAGTCTCGATCTAAAATC